GATACAAATTTTTACAATCTAATAAAAACTGGGTCAGCAAGTCTATTACACTTAATCACTAGCCAAGATGCGATAAATGACTGTTGATAAATAAGGGAGACGCTTAAAAGTGACCAACAATGGGCTTTCAATCAAATGTGGTTTGAGTGCTGTAGTTATCAAAACATCTAAGGACTACAAGGGCTCGCAAATAAAGTGGATAAAAGATGATTTGCTGTTTACGCGCAGACTTTTTGCCATTTGAATGGCTCTAAAAGGATAATAGATTTTCTTCTTGTTCATCAGTTACTTTTGTGGGCCGGAAGTGGTGATGGGTATTTCTTTGGTGACTATGAATTTTTAAGTAAGTATGAGTTGGGGAAAACATAAAAGGAGGGAAAGTGAAGAGCGGAAGTGTATTTATTAAGAAGCTGAGCAGCCAAAGCAAATCGGGTGTGCATAAAGGCATGTATCTAAAGGAAATAGCAAAAGGTGGTTTTGATGACAAGGTGCGGCCAATGATACGGGATTTAGTAGGCAAATATATCCCTTCTTTAAAATATCCAGTTGATGGTAAGGGTATGAAAAGAAAAAATGAAAGGAAATGAAATGAAGGAAAGGGAGCGCAAAAAGGAAAAAAAAGGAAAAAAGGAAACGTAGGTAAGTAGGTAACTAATATAAATGGATAGGAAATAAATGCAACAAAAAAAGAGAGAAGTGAAATAAAACAAACCAAAAAATTAAAAAAATATACAAATAAAAACAAGTAATCTAAAAAGAAATGTTTAAAGACAAGCTTTCTTTAGTGGGTAATAAAAAGAATAAAATCGACCACCGCGCCTCCTAATGACTAAATTTTTTGTGTCGTTAATTTTTTCCGTTTAAGTAATATACGTTCCAAATATGAAACAAATTGCAACCATAAATGCGGGGTTTTCAAATAAATCGACACCTGCGCCACCTAGCGGGTTAACTCATATGTATTTCATATTGCATTGTTATCGGGTTTTGAGCTAAGCTCGAAGTTTCAAGCCTGTAGCACATCAGGATGTTGAGTAGAAATTAATTGCAAGATTTGATTACACACAGCTGAAATATAATAAAACCTTCTAGTTTTGAAGAAACTCATCCAGCATAGCATCGCTTACCGATGACCCACTGCGTCCAGGCAACTTAGTTGACATCATTTTGAGCTCATAATATGCTTGCAAGGCAGTAAATACGACCATCGTAGAGATACACGAGCAGCTAAGACGAGAATAAGCTAGCCAACGAGGCAGTACGAGAAGGTAAGAGGAGTAGGCAAACGTCACTAAGGCGGATGGGGACAAACGGACCCGACCAAGGCGAGTTTTTGTATTTCAACATATCACAGAGGAATACTCAAAGTTGGTGGAACCTTTTTTATGGTCTGCAATGAATCAAGGCCTCCGCACTCAACCCACCACGCGCCGTGGGTTTGGTACGTAGACGATGGCAGTTTGAGTTTAGATTAAAGTCCCAAAGCTTCTAGGCTTAGGGGATATTGAAAATCCAGATGTCGTGCAAGAGAAAAAGCAATGCACACGCAACTAATCACTCTTTGGTGTTTCTTTTAGGCTGGCGGAGTCGTGAAAAGTAGAGTCTAAGCCGGAGCTGAGGAATGAAATCACATGTACGTCCCAAACTCCCTGCAGTGAAAAGCCAAACCAGTTAGAAAAAATACTAGTTCATTAACTAGTATGTGCCTACCAGTTCGACAATTTCGAAAAACTTAGGCGATTAGCGACATCTGCCTTTGAATTGCCAAAGCCAAAAATAAAACGAAATTAATTGCTTTTCTTACAAATGTCGGCTGTGGCGTCACGAGAAGACTACTGGTTCTGGTTCTGAAATCGCAGGTTCGAGGCCGCTTGGAGGTGGTTAAGAATTTTAAAGTTAAATAAATGTAAGTAAAAATAATTTATTCAATGTATAAATAAATAACAAATTTGAAAATCTAATTGCGTTGCAAAAAAACATTTAGGAAGAAATATAAAAAACAAAGAAATTAAACAAAAATATTTTTTTTATTAAATTAAAAAATTACAATAAACAGCATAAACAAAAAAAAAAAAATTTAAAAAAAAAAAAAAAAATAGAAAATAAAAAAATGTTACCTGCGCCCGGATTTGAACCTGGGACCTCAGGCTTACCCCGCGAGTGCTCTTCTCTGTCGGCCATTGTGACTGCTGGAGCGTCGCGAGCAAAAAGGCACACTTATGCTTTTCACGGGGCATGAATTGGCAGACTATCTCATCAACTGGTTTGATGCTACTAGTATTTATACTAGTAGATGCTGATGCATAGCCTGAAAATTGACATCTCGTAGGACATCGCAATCTTAAAAATACCAGTCGCTAACATTGAAAAAGGATAGAACGTGAACTAGTTCGGCTGAAACGCAAACCGGTAGAATTCTAGTTCACAACTAGTAGCTTTCCCTGCAGGGCTATGCCAAAAAGTGATGGAAATTTTTCGTAGACGGATTATACTGTTCTTAAGCTATAGCTATCGAAGGAAAACTTTTCCACCCCATTGAGTGGTAGCTGGAATTAAGATGGTGAAGAAGACAAACACAAGCCTCTAATTGACGATGATGTCGTCAATGTCCTACCTCCCGACTATGGCGGCGAAAAGTTGTTAAGGTGCATGCATTAACCCTTATGCAGAATGCGGTCAGACGAATGCATGCCCGACTACTGGTAAGACGACCCCGCCAAATCGAGCTAAAAGGACGTAAGCAGCATTTGTTTTTAAGTTTCGTTTTGAAAAATGTTCCTGGAGCATACAGATACATATGTATGTGTATTAGAGGCCTGCATGAATTTATTCAAATTTCTAGCCAAACAGAGGACAATAGATTTGAACATTTTACTTCACATACAAAACAATTAGCGTTTGAAATTTTCTTCGAATCGATTTCCTATTCGAATCTATTTCCCATGATAAAAACATAGCAAGGTATAACCGTTCTCTCAATTTGTCGGCCATGATTTTTTTTTGAAGTTTGCCAACATTTTAAAATCATATAAAAGTGAAAATAAAAAATTGAAATTGTACGAAATTGTTGTTGCTTGAGATTGAAAATGAAAATGTGTGTGTGAGTTTGTGAGTAAATTTAAAAATTAAATTGTTTGGAAACGTCAAGAATTTTAAAAGTGACTCTCAGCGGTTCTACCTTACTATATTTTTATCATGCTATTTCCTATTGCCAGTCGCTCTAAAACGTCCGCCGAAGGCAATTCGCCTGGGCGAGTCGTTTTCTTATTACCTGAATGAGCCGTTTTCTTATCGCTTCAGGCGATATTTGGAATAATTTTATTCTTTTTAATACTTCGTTTATTTTTTGTATACCAAATTGGAACTTACAGTCGGAATTATTCCTTTTCTCGCTATGAGGTTTCCTTTTTTCTCAATCCTGTCTTTGGGCATACTTTAGATGCTTTGGGCAATACTGTTGACGCCATATTCATAAGTTTTGGAATTTTTGAGAACTTATTTATTCAAAATTGACATGAACGAAATGATATTGCCGATTTGTCACCACAGCAATAAATCGGTGAGTCGGCAATTTGTTGCCATTGACGATTGTTGCCTATTTGTCATGTTTTGCGTGGTGGGTTCTAATGTCGACACATATGTGTATTCACTCAAATTGCAAAAAATGTTAGGCCAAAATAATTCATTCGTTTTGTATATAAATAATTCATAGGCCGTTTTGAATGAATTCATGCAGCCCTCTAATGTGTATCCCCAAAAAATTAAAAAAAAGTCGGTTACGTCTTTTTTGTGGCTAGAGATCGATATGTGCCAGTAACCTAAGCGTCGGCTATAAAACCTTATCAAGCCTATAGATTGAAAGACTGAGCCCACCGTCAACAAACTAATAGGACAGCTACTCACCATACGTCAAATCTTGTAAAAGTCGGATCGAAGGAAGGAAGTTTTCTTTATGCCGCGATATCTGAATTTGCTATCCCCGCGAAACTAAAACAGCTGTGTGTAAAATGGCATTGAGCAGTACCACTAGCACCATTATAATTGGGAAGGATCTCTCCCAGCAGTTTTATACCAAACGGATTTCAGATAGGGCGACGCCCTTTCGTGTGATTCTTTAACCTGATATTGGACCGCTCAGGCACAGTTTTTTCCAAACAGGCAACGGCGAGCACCATAGATGATAGAACAGTGAGCTGTATGAGTTTTACAACCACATTAACATACAGCGAAGCAATGCACATCGGCTGCGCTGCCTCGGTCTCAAGCGTTTCAGTTCTTAAAGTATTCAACGTGGATCACGATGCTGATTGCAGTGGAAGACCTCCTTTGCGATAGAGACCAGGTGGAGAATCACTTGACTTCATTTTGTATTCCAGTGCCATTTGGAACAGAAGAGAAACGACTGGCGTGCAGTATTTTACCCGACCAAAATTGCTTTGGCGATTATAGCACCCAACGAGAAGAAGAAAATGTATGTTTTGAAATTAAAATTTACGACATCAAATACAATATAAATCACACGAAAAGAACTCATAAAAAATGCATAAATGAAATGGAAGAAATATTTTGCTTAGAATTCGATGAATGATAAATGATATTAAAACACATCGCTGTTGGTATGTGGAGATATCATACATTTCTTAATTGCGAAAATTCATTTGTTTTTAACTGAAGAAAAGCGGGTTTAAAAAAATTAAAAGGGAAGTGTTTGCAATTAATTTTTAATACCCAGAGATTTTTAATCGTGCTATACTTATTGCCAAGAATATTTATAAAAAAAATCCGCTTCACTTCACTATAAGAGTACCTTCGACTATACATACATTTTAAGATTTAGATAAGAGGATAAGAGAATTTTCCATTAGAGCTTGTATTCAATTAATTTAAAAATATAAAAAATTAGTATGCTATTTAAGTTACTACTAACCTTCAAAGTAAAACTTTCAAATTTAAATACAATCTACTTTAAAATCGCTGTAAATATATGATATTCCACTTACCAAAGTCGAATGCGCGTTCCAATATCACTGAATGCCTTTTTTGCAACGCTGCCGCCCGTTGCTGCTGCTGTTGCTGATGATGGTGGTGAGAGTGCTGTTGTGGCATATGTTGTCCACCACCACCACCACCACTCCCATACAAATGCTGTTGACGATCTTTGATGCCATCACCACCACTATTGTCCTCGCCATCGGGCCCCAAGCGCACATCGTATGGTCCACCACCACCCGTCGTGGGCTGCTGATATTGATGCGCATGTTGTAGATAGTGGCCCGCCATACCACCCGCTGCCGCCACCGCTGGCACAGTTACTGCACAAAGTGGTTGCATTTTTGCTGATTGTTGTTGTTGTTGTTGTTGCAAACGTTGCTTATGCGGTGAATTCGGTTGCGCCGGCAGCGTTGGTTGCTGTTGGTGTGGTTGCGTGTGCGTGTGCTGATGTTGCGCAGATGTTGTTGCGCCTGGTATTGTTGGCAGTTGTGAATGTTGTTGATGCAGGCAACAATACTTGATGTGTTTGCAAAAGAGATTGCCATTGCCACTGCCACTGCCACCGGCGCTACCTCCACCACCACCACCGCTACTGCCGCTGCCAGTACTGTGTCCACTGCCGATACTATGAACGCCACCAGAGCCGCTGCCACCGTGACCAATACTATTCAGTGTGGCAATGCTGCTGCTGCTGCAAATGCTGCCTCCAGCACTAGCGCCGCTGCCACTACTCATTGCTCCACTGCCACAACTGCCGCCAACACTACCGTACGTGGCGGCTGGATTGCGCGGCCGGTGCACGCGAAACGAACTGGAACGACCGACCGAGTGACTAGCGCCTTCTCCGCTAGCGCTGTGCGGGTGTGTAGGGCAACGAAGACTACCGCCATGACGGCGTTGCATGAATCTGCTGGTGTTGCTGGCTGTATTGCGGCTGCTGTTGTTGTGATGCGGTATCACCTAGATTGCAATGAGAAATATAGAACGAGAGTGGTAGACAGATAGCATGCGATGATTTATGTGTAGGTTTTAGATAGGAAAAAAAGCTTCAAATGAGGAAATTGAATAAAAAATTAAAATAAAGCAAAACTCACATCACTCTTTATTCACAAAAAAAAAAAATAAATAAATAATTATCGATACTATTTTTCCATCGGAATGAGTAAGTTTATTGCATACAAAGACTTCCACCAAAATAATTCGAATTTACGTAAGTTGAACCGATTTGAAAATACCATCAAAAATCTCGATACTTGGATTCCGTTGATAAAATGTTCAAAAATTTACATGCAGACCTTTTGAGCTCAAATTCTTCTATAATCCGAGTAGATCTTTTGGAAAAATGTTTTTAAAAATTATTTTTGCTTATGAAAAATCTGGGTTATCGGAGTTTTTTTCAAAATGGTCCAGCTCACATAAATCTTTATATTTTCCCGCAATATTTTGCGGTAAGTCTTCAAATATATATATATATATTTGTAGAGGTTTTTAGGAATTCGTTTTTGACGAAACATTTTTTATTACAGTTTTGTTTTGCAAGGGAAAGATGATAAGTATTTAGAATCAATATGTTTTGAACAGTTCTTAAAATATTTGAGTATATATATATATATATATACATATATGATATCTATTTCGCTGGCAAGGGACTGTACGTATATTTGTACCAAGTTAAAACCTAAACGGATACACACAATCGAACCGAAATTTGGCACGGCATCTCTACGACTGCTGTTTCAGCGATAGTTTATATGTATAAAAATGGGCTTAGCGAAGGGGGCATGGCAT